GCATCCTCGTGGGCAGCATCTGTGTGGGACTTGGCTCCATGCCTCCGAGTCTTCCAGTCCTTCTCTTCTGGGCTTTGGTGCACACAGAGAGGAGGGGCAGGGTGGCTCTCGCAGCTCTGTGTGTTGCCCCCCCACCCCCCCGCCCCACCATCGTTTTCCCAGCCGCCCCGAGTGCAGCTGCTTTGTAGCCACTGCCCATAGTGGGCTGTGCCTGCCCAAGCCCACCCTTTTGTAAACCCGCTCAGGCTCTTTCTCCCCCTGCAGCCAATTGGCCATCGGTGTGGGCACAGGCGGGCGCTGGTGGGGGATGTGTGTTCTGTGGCCTGTGCCCTCTGGGCCTGCCTGGCTCTGTGCCCTGGTGGGTACTACTGAGCTCTTGCAGGAGTGATGCTCGGTCAGTTGGTGCCCTGTGGTCCGTCCATCAGGGCCCAGAAACACGGTCGGAGCAGTTTTTCAAAAGGCATATGACTCGCTGGAAGCCTGGGGTCCCTCCGTGAAGCCGATGCTCTACCGTTTCTGCCACCATCTTCCACACCAGTAGGTCCCCCAAACGTGCATCCCAGCCCAACCTTGCTGAGAGCCCTCTGGCCCTTATCCCACGTCCCCTTGTGGCTGGGCGGGCCCAGCGTTCCCAGGCGTGGAGGGTGGAGCAAGCAGGGCACCAGCGCAGCTCTGGCGAAACACACCCAGGTTCCTCCTCACAGAGGCGCAGGCGGTTCCCAGGCCTCTTTGTTCTCTGGTGCAGGAGAGAACGTTCGGGGGCAGTGTCCACAGGTCCTGTCCCTGAGGCCGAGGGAAGCTGTGAGCAGGTAGGGCTCCCCCGTCGCTGGGCTGATGGCCGTCTGCGCTTGCCCACTAGGGCCCACAGGCTTTCTGCAGAGGCCAGAGAGCGGATTAAACAGGGCCCTGGCACTCCACGCCCTGGTCCTTAAAGTTGGCGCACGTCTCTGCCGCCCTTTGATGGGGTGGGAGGGCACTTTCTGAGGCTTCCACCCCTTGACCACACAGGCCACGGGGCGGTGGGTGTTCTACCCACTGCCATGTCAGGCCCATGGAAATGACATATGTCTGGGTGGGTCTTCAGGCCCATTAGGTCTGCTGTGACCTGTCTTTGTCCATTTATTGCCTGGCCCCCAAATGTCCCCAGTCTAACAGGGGGACATGGGACGCTTTGGGTTCAGTGGACCTTGAACTGCCAGGGTGTGGCCCTGTGCCCAGCGTGTGATCACCAGGTAAGCAGCATGAGGTCCCTGGGCGAAGACTTGGGGAATAGTCTCAGTACACACCTGCCCTGGTGCTGCGGAGCTCTGACTGCTGGGCATCCGACCTTATTTCCGACAGGGGTCCTGTGTCTGAAACTGGCTCAGACCAGGCCTGGGTAAAGGAGCACGACTTTCAGTGGGGTTACGCCCCTCAGCCTCCTGTTCGCTCACTCTTGTTTCCTTCTGCAGTTGTGTGGACTTCTGCCTGCGTGTGCGGGCAGCCAGGGCTGGGTCGGAGGGCCGTCTGTTTCACTCCTTGCAGCACCGTCTCCTGTTGTCTATCGGCCAGTTGGCCTTCCTTGGCTGGTAACCTGGCCTGTCGGTCATTAGGCTAATTGCTGGCCCCTGGTTTCTGGCAGTTACATACATACCATCACCAGGCCACTTTTGCTTTGGGGCCAGGTTTAACTGCTGGAATCAGAGAGTGGCCACAAAGCCTGTTACCAACAGGCCACGCGTCGTGACAGCCTCTTCTGAGAGTGGAATTGCTGGTCACCTGGTATGTGGGTGTCCAACCGCCAAAGTGTTTGAACTATTTTACGCTCTTTCCAACAGTCCTTTGAGTGATCTGGTTGCTCCACATCTTTGCCAATACTTGGTGGTGGTGATCATTTTTACATTAAATTTTAGCCGTTCTGGCAGGTATGTAGTGTATCTCATTTTGGTTTTGTTTTGCATTTCTCCAGTTACTGTTGATGTTGAGTGTCTTTTCTGGTGCTTGTTGACCGTTCACATGTTTTCTTTTGTGAAATGTCTGATTCAGTCTTCTGCCCACTTTTAGAAACTGGGTTATTTGTCTTATCATTAAGTTGTAGGAATTCTTTATATATTCTGGATACAAGCCCTTTATCTGGATACAGACATATGTATTCTGAATATTTTCTCCAAGTTTTGCTTCATTTTTAAAGCAGTGTCCTTCCAAGAGCAGCAGTTTTTAATTTTGATGAAGTCCAGTGTCTTTTGGTGAATAGAACTTCTTAATTATAAAGTAGTCTGTTATTGGTCTTTTCCTTTGTGATTAGTGGTTTTTCTGCCCTGATTAAGAAATCTTTACTTATTGAAGAGTTATGAGGATGTTCTGCTATATAGTCTAGAAAAGATTTGTATGATTTTGTCTTTCTCATTTTGATCTTCAGTCTATCTGGAGGTAGTTTTTGGGTGTGTTGTGAGGTAGAATGCAGCTCGTTTTTTTCATGTGGATATATTGATAAAATTGATCCAGCATCATTTATTGAAAAGACCATCCTTTGTCCACTCCAGTAAATGGCATTTTGTTGTAAATCAGGCGACCATCTGTGTGAGGTCTGCTTCTGGATTCCATTTTCTTTCTCTGGGCTATTTATCTATCTGTGTATCAGCAGTAAATTAATATCAGATTGTAAACCATCCAGTTTTGTTCTTCTGCATGACTGTCTTGGCCATCTGGGCGGTTCACGTTTCCATGTAAGTTTTAGGACTTCAGAATCAGGTTGTTGATTTCTACCAAAAAAAGAAAAAAAAAAGCCATCTAGAACTTTGGGGTTCAAGGGCTCTTTACAGTAGTGAAGCTTCCCATCCTTGAACATGGTATGCCCCTCCATTTACTGAGGCCTTTGCTTTCTCTCAGCAGTAGTCTTAATTTGGCACCTCTTTAGTTTGAGATATTATTGGATATTTCATTTTTTAATTCTATTGTTAATAGTTTCTCAAATGTTGTCTTTAAAATTTTTGTTGTTAATCTATAGATACCAGTCGAATTTCATATATCACCCTTGTGTCTCGCTATTTTGCTAAATTCCCTGTTTTATTTCTAATGTCTATACGTGTAAATTCTCTTACGTTTTCCGTACATATAATCATTAGCAAGTAACAGTATTTTTATTCTTTTCATGTTCTCATATCTTTATTTTTTTTCTTGCCATACTGAAGCAGTTAGGACCTCTGGTGTAGCGTTAGCTACAGGTGGGAGCGCAAAGCATTCTCGTCTCATTCCTCTTCTCAAGAGGAAAGCGTTTAACTGTTCACCCCCCCGGCAGTTATGTTTTCTGGGTGAGCAGGCAGCTACAGGAGGAGTTCCTTTCCTGACACAGGCACAGAATTCTCAGAAGAAGGAGCCGTTCAGTGGGAAAAATCCACCCCTAGTTGCTTCTCCCGCGCACTAGTTTCCCGCGCACTAGTCGCTTCCCGCGCACTAGTTGTTTCCTGCACACTAGTTGCTTCCCGCACAGTAGCTATTTTTGCTGTGTCATCTTCTGTCGTGTTGTGCACTGCAGCCACAGTTCAGTTCTCATGTTATCAGTCGCATCACTTTTCAGATTAGAAATTTCTTTTTCTGTCATTTAGGGAGATTAGTATAATCTGTGCCTCTGCTGGGTGAATGTTTCGGGCATTTGCTTATTCTTTTCAGCTTAGTAAAGTTGCCAACTCTCCCTTCAGTTAGTTCTTCTCCTGTTTCAGGAGTTCCACTGCCAGTCCCATGGGCTCTACAGCCAGACTGTGGAACTGAAAATCTCAGCAAAAAAATCAATTTCTCTCGTAGGCAGAAGCTGTCGTGAGCTACTTTTCCATGGTTCAAGGTGGATGTGTTAACATTAAATTTATGTGTAATACACATGATTCTTTTTTCTTTAAGCTGCAATTCCATACACTCTCCCAGACCTAATGAAGTGTGTGCACCGAGCACTGAGATTGGGATCAGAAAGCCTTGGTTGAAACCATGATCCTTCTACTGGCGATTTGGTCATGGGTAATAACGGTATTATGATAATAGTACCTGGGGAGCCAGGCATTTTGCCCGTTGTGTTCACTGCTGTATTTCTTGCTTCATTAGTTGGTGTTTAGATTGGAGGACCATGTATCTAATAAGAAGTGGGACGTTTTCAAATGTATTCTAAGGTCCTTTCTTTTTTCTTATTTCTTGGGGTATTCTTTTTTTTTTTTCTACAGTGCTTTCATATTCTTCACATGACACCAATTGACGATTTAATGCTGAAGCCTGTTCATTGTTTTATTATAATTTATTAAAGACCATTCTTTAAAGGGGAAGGTGTTTAGCACATATGCCGTTTAGAACTAAATGGAAAGCAAATTTTGAAAGGGTTTACATTTAAGAATTTATGATTCAGTTTTTAATCACATAATGTTAAATCTGTTTCTTTTTGTTTTGTCTTTTCATCTTATTCTGTGTCTTACTGAAAAATTGTTTTTTTTAAAAAAAGAAAAGTTGTTTAGAGGGCAGAGACCTAGAGCCAGACAGGTTCCTGAAAAGAGGTGACCCGCGTGTCTTGTCTGTGCTCAGTACCCCTGTCCACACAGTGGCTGCGCGTCACCATCGGGCGCCGGACTGCTCTCCACCAGGGCTTAGCCTGTGGCATCTGGCATGCTTGTGACTGCAGCATGTGCAGGGCACTCAGCCCCTGTGCAAGGTGCTCTCACAGAGCTTTCAGGGAAAATCCATTTAATGCTGCTCTTAGACCCCAGCTGCACCCGTGGTGATTATATCTTTAGCTGCGCCCCGCCTTCATTTCACTCCCTTTTTTGAAGAGCTGTTGAGGAAGAGCAGGAGGAAATCGATTTTGAGGAAATTAAATTTTCTTCTAAAGCAGGATGATGTGTTGGAACAGGGCAGGGGAGCAGGGTCTGGAGCCGCCCACCTGGCTGGCGTTTCGAGGGGCAGGGGTGCGGGCCCGGGGCTGCGTGTGCAGGCGCCATCCGCAGGGTGGGCGGCCACGCTCTGCTCACGTCTCCCTTGTCCCTCAGCTGCAGACGGCAAAGTCGTGACGTGCGCCGCGGTGTGGAGGATGCCAGCGGAGCTGGAGCCGGGCAGCCACGAGTCCCCAGAGGACGCAGCGAGCCCTGCACACGCCCTGGAGCTGCTCTGTCACCTGGGTCCCGCGGCCCACGGCAGCACAGCCTGGTAGGTTCCGCCCCTGCGTGCCCAGGCAGGCTTGGAGGCAGGCCCCCACCACAGAGGCCTCTCTGCATAAATTGCTTGCTTCCGCACTCTCTTTAGTGCCAGTTGTTTCCCAGATGAGACAAATCTATGGACACCCTGCTGCACACGTACTGAGAAAAGCTGCGTCCAGATCCTTTTCTTCTGAAGTCAGTCTTCCAGGTACCTGCCGGGAGGATGGCAGTCAGGTGCCGTCCAGCACTTAAGTGCTGCGTTGCTTTTTACCTCATAAATACACCTTCACTCAGCAATCCTATGCATAAATTAACTTATCTGTTACCTTGGGTTGAAGGCTTGTGATGTCTTCTTCTGTGGACCAAGTGTGGACACCCCGTGTGCAGGTTGTGCTGTGCCCCCAACGCTCCGAGGCTTCATCTTGCATTTATTTCCCCAAATGTCCTGTGCAGTCTCAGGACGGAGGGACGCCACCAGCATCCCTCAGGGCTCCCAGGCCCCTGGCTGCCCGCGTGCTGTGATGGCGGGATTGCTGTGCCCCCCGCGGTAACGCACGGATACTCCTCATGATACTCACGGCTCATGTGTCGAGTCGCCAAAGCCTTGGCAAACTCGAGAAGCTGTGCTTTCTAGAAGGGACCGTGGGAACGTACCCTTGTTATGGGTGTTTACGGTTACAACGGTAATTGTTTTGCTTAATACGGTCACACTCCCACGTGTGCGTGCGTGTGTGTGCGTGTGCTTGTGCATGCATGTGCGTGTGTGTGCATGTACGTGAGAAAGAGCCTCCGTGTAGTCACTTCTTAGTCACCCCTACCAATTAAACAAATTTAATCCAGCACGTATTTATTAAGCACCTGCTGCACACGCCTGCCAGGCTCCAGGGACCCAGGGTGATGGGTCAGGGGACCTGGCCTTGAGGAGTCATGATCTCTTGGGGAGGCCGCGGTGTAAACATCTAACCGAGACCCAGGGCAGGCGGGGACCACGCTGGAGTCGTTCTGAACCATGTGCCGTGGGACCCCTGAACAGAGAGTCCCTAATTTTTATTAGAGGAATTGATGACGGAGTCTCTGAGGAGGTGACGTTCGGAGCTGGGACTTATACTGGTCCCCACCGTCAGCTGCGTTTGGAGGTGGGGAGGGCGGGGGGAGCAGGGCTGGAGGCCTGAGTGGCCAGGGCCCTGGGGGGCCTCCATCTGTCGGTCTGTGTGTGGAGGTGGTTAGCAGGCGCCAGGTCGGGCTTGTTGCTTTTTCCCAGGAGGCCGGCCATCTGCGCAGAAGGGGTTGTCCTGCCCCCTGAGAAACTATCCATGGGTGCAGCAGAACAGTGCTGCAAACCACACAGAGCTGTTCGGAGCCCACGTCTCAGGTGGCAGCCCTGCTTCCCCAGCAAACATTTGCACGTGTGTGTGTGAGTGCAAGAGTGTGTGCACATATGTGTGTGCATGTGTGCGTGCACGTGTGTCTGTTCCAGGAGCTACCCCGGCACTGGGGAATGGGTGAGTGAGACAGTGCAGATCCGCAGTCATTTCGGGCGAGGCCGGCATATACAGGTGGCGTCCATGTCTGTGGTGGGTGCAGAGAGGGGTGAGCGCCGGGAGGGGCCTGCCCCTGTGGACGAGGGGATGAGGAGCTGTCGTTCGCTCCCCGCTCCCCACCTGGGCCCAAATGCTCCATCAGAGCTGCTGTCGTGGGGGAGCCGGCCGCGCCCGCCCACGGGCATTGTTGGGGGTGGATGTAGTGCGCCTGCGCTCTCGCTTGTGAAGGGAGCGTGCTAGGAGGTGAGTGTCGGTGTTTAGCCCCGTCCTCCTCGGAATCTCCTTGGAATGCCGTTACTCCCGATTTGCTGCTTACGTTCAAAGTGCTTCTTGAAGTCTTTTTTGTTATCCGTTGCATCGCTCTGTCTTTGACCTTGTCACCTGTGGCTGCAGGTGCGGTTGTAGCAACAGCTCAGAGAGACCCTGCGTGCCCGCCCGTCTGCCCCAGCGGGGACCACGCACCACTGCCATCGAGGCAGCCCACAGCCCCACGCAGGTTCACGTGTTCCGCACCCATGCCTGTGTGTGCCCTGAGTTCCCTTGCATCTCATCACACGTGTCAGTCTGTGTAGTCACCACCACGGTCGGGGCACAGAACCAGGATCACTCGGGCCGCCTTGTTGTGGCCAACGCCCCCCCCCCACGCCCCGCCCTTCATCCCTGGCCGCTGCGAGCCCACACCACCCGGTGCACCGTCACCGGGAGAGCATTCTGCACGTGGAGTCACGCCGTGTGCATCTGATGGCGGCTTTTGCATCATCGTCCCTCCTTCCTTCTTACTCTGAGTAGGACTCCGGGTGGGGTGGACACAGTCCGTGTAAGTGTTCCCCCGTGGAGCATCTGGGTCCCCGGCTTCGGGCTGTTGTGCGTAGAGAGCCTCTGAACAGTACCCTGCGCACCTGGGTCTCCACTCTCCTGGCCAGGTGCCTGGGGGCAGCTGCTGGGCCATGCGGCTCAGTGTTTCGTTTGGTGGAAACGGCCACGCTCTGCTCCAGAGGGGTCGTGCCAGCCGTGTGTGCGGGTCCAGTCTCGGCATCCTCATCAGCATGTGGGGTTGTCGTGCACGTTCTCTTAAGTATCCTCGGTGGTGTCAAAGTTTCATTATTAGGTAGGGAATGTGAGTTTTGGAAATTGAAGTCTGGTGGATCCGTGGAGGTGAAGGATACTGTGGTCAGACATGAGGCAGTCGGTGTTCTGTGTTCACTTGCTTGCTTTCCTTTTTGGCTTGTTATTTGTGCTGAGAGCAGTTCCAGGAGAGGGGCTCCCAGATGCTCTGACCATTGGCTGCTGCTGGCCAGAAGGGAGTGTCCAGGAACGCCACACAGTCCCAGTGCCCTGGAGTCGTGGCTGCACTGACAGGCAGAGGTGTGGGGCTCCTGTCCTCAGGGCCCCTCAGCCTCTCCTGTTCTGGAGCGGTGGGGCATGGGGTAGATGGCTCTCACGTCTGCATCGCTGCAAGCAGGGTCAGCTAGTGCATGGTGGGTCTCTTGTGCTCACCTTCCCCGAGGTGGCCGTAGGGTCACTGGAAAGTCACCTGTTTCTGTAGATCAGGTCTCCATTCCTGAAAAGGAGGTGAGACATTTCTCGTTGTGCTGATGTCAGGGTCTCTGGAATGTGGTACTTTGCGTGGCTGTAAATAAGGCAGTGAAGGGGCTGGTGTAACGTACCCCCAGACCCTTCCGGGCCTGACTCCCCGGTTTTGCCCTGTGGGGACACAGGTCCCAACTTGACCTGGAGGGGCCACCCCGTGACCTGCAGCACTCAGCTCCTCTGGGCTGAGTGTCCCCTCCTCAGAGAGGTCCTTCCTAACCATTGTCTCCGAAATGATCACTGCTCCAGCCCCACTCAAGCCTTTCTGTCATTTTACCCAGTCTTATGTCATCATAGCGGTCACCACCTCCTGACCCTCCCCTCTCTGCGCGCGTGCTCCTGCGTCTTTGTCCGTAGCCTGAGCTTCCTCCGGGCAGGGGCCTGTCAGGATGCAGGCTGCGTCCTGTAGCCTGTATCAGCACCAAGGACAGTGCCTGGCACATGGAGCGCTCCACCCGCCTGCCTGCTGAGTGAGAAAGGGAGCGAATTGGGGCCGCAGAAACGATGCTGAGTCATGACTGTGACCCTGTAAAGTGGGGACCGCTGTAGGTAAGATAACTGTAGGCCAGAGAGAGGAGGAGATTGCGTCCAGGGCCCCTCGCTCCTCGGGGGAGTGACTGGGCCTCACAGCCGGGCAGTCTGGCTGCAGGAGCGCACCTGCAGAGCGCGGATTGGGAACCACCTGTGGCCATCACTCTGTGGTTTGGAAGTGGTGTCAGGTGCTGGGAGTATAGACACATCTTCGTCAGAATAAGTTTGGGGAGCGTTCATGCATCTTCCTGCTGGTCCTTTCTGGATGATCAGTGTAAACGAATTCTGCTCTCCAGGGGACCCCCTCATTTTGCCGAAACTAGAGTCATCGTCTTTTCCGGCATGCTCCTCCTCTCCCTCCTGGTTCGCTCCTGCAGTCAGCGTGGTGATTGTGGAAGAAACGGTGGGCCTGGCATCCGTGGCCCTGGGCTCTGCCTGCAGATCTGTAGCTAATTCACGGCACCCCTTTGGCGAGTCAGGTCAGTTTGGGCCTCATTCCCTCGTGTGTAAAATGGGTTGAATTCAGGAGTCTCTGATGTTCTTTCCAGCTCTAAATTCACCGGATGCAGTGAGCTCTCTTTCACACCTGCTCAGTGCTGCGTGCCTTTCCCTGAAACTCATGACCCTCTTTCCACTCTGCCTGTCACACTGAGGTGAGGGGCACTGGCTGCTCTGCTGCTCAACAGGCACACGGCCATGACCACGCCACTTACGTGAGGTCCTCCTGGGTGAAGTCAGTTCAGCTGGTGGCGGGCTGCCTGCAGGGCTTGGACTGAACCATGAGGATTCTTTTACCGAACTGGGGTCTTTTCACCATTTTCAGGGTATCTCATCCCGTCATACTCCAGGTTATGTATATTAGCTGCATTAAATCCTTTTGGAAGGATATGGGATGTAGATAAGTAAAATTAATAAAATTTTACCTTGTTACGTTAAAGACACTGAGGTGAGAGTTCGTCCTAGCGTCACACGTGTAGTTGACACTCTT